CGTCTCCAGCACGGCCTGGTCGCTGGCCTGGGTCCCCGATGCAGGAGGCAGTGCGGCTGCCCCCGCCGACTCCTGCAGCGGGATGTGACCGTCCCGACGAGCCAGCCACCGCCTTCTGCAGAGCTGGCCTCGCTCGCTCCGCCGCAGCCCGGCCGGGACGTGCGGGCCCGCCCCGCCCCGCCGGGGTTCGAGCCACCGTCATCCTCCCCCTGCCCCCCCTCTGGTTCTCTCGGGGCTCCTCCCACGACCCTCCCAATGGCGGTATCCCCGGCACCCCCATCCCTTCCCTCTCTCGGCTCAAGCCGGAGAACTGGCGGGGGCTTGAGGAAAGGTGCGGGTGTGAGGGTCTCGGGCAGCTGGGAGAGCCCCTCCCTCGCCGGGTGGAATTGTCCAAGTTGGGAAGAGGAATTCCATCTCTGCTGCGGGAGGGGCTCAGAGGGGAGGTAACAGTGTGATCAGATAATTGTTTCAGCAGTCTCTTACTTGTAGACTGCGTCAGCTTTGAACTCATTCCCATTCATAATCTGATTTTGATTCCGTTCACTTTCTCATTCATTCATTTATTCAGCAAATATTTGGTATCTCCTTTGCATCTGGCGTTAAGAGCTGGAGGTACCACGATTGGTAAAAGTGCTGGGCTTATAGGGGGAAACTGGAAAGGTAAAGTCCTACAGCTCTTACTTGAGTTCTGCCACTTACTGTGATTTTGGAGAAAGTGGCCAACCTGCGCCTCAGGTTTCCCACCTGTAAAGAAGAGGTAGGAAACATCCCAGGGCCGTTAGGAAGAGCAGATGAGACAATGTTGCAGAAAGATCTTTAGAAAACTCACAACTATGTGAACAGGTGATCACTAGTAATTTGCACCAATGTGTTCACTAATTTATTCAATAAACAACCTGAAATCTGGACTGAGAACTGGGGTGTCAGTTCAGTCCTGTGATCTTAAGCAGCCAACTTAACTTCTCTGAGCCTCAGTTTCACCATCTGAAAAACCGGGATGTCAATACCATCTTAGCGTTGATGTATCCAGCGAGAGAATAAGAAGTGTGTTGTTCAGTGTGAATAAAGGTTGGCTAACGTTGTATTTAGGACAGATCTTTTAGCTTCTATTTCTGTAGCATTTTTTTTTCCCTGTAATATCCAGTTCAGTGTGTGCACACCTGGGGCTCTGAAGTTTGTTGACTTCCTTTTTGAAAGGAGAAGGTAAAATGGGGTCAGTGGAACAGGGGCGGATTGTGTGGGCCGAGCATGTGATCAAGCCATGGCCCAGGTCCTCTGATGTCTGACCCGAGGACCCTAACCTCTGGCCTCCTGAGGCATCCTGGTCCCAGGGCACTTTTACCCAGGAACTCTCACTGGCCTGAATGTTGCCTAGGCTTCAGGTCCTGGGGGAGAGGAGGGCGTCGTGCCTGAGGGCAAGAGTAGTGAATCTCTTGTCTTCATCTTCAGAAGCTGCTGAGTCAGGATGCACTTAAAGAGGAGCCCCAGCAGCTCCCCTGGGGCTACCAGGGGGTTGGGGGCCTACTGACCAGGAAAGGGTGCAGGCAGAGGTGCAGGGGGTGGTGCTCACAGAGGACAGGGTTCTTGAGTTAATAATCATCACTGTGGCCCAGATAAGGCCCTGCCAGCTGGAAGCGGAGTCATCGTGACCAGAGGGGTTTGTGTGGCTGAAGAGACAGGCAGGACCGTGGGGCCACAGCACAGGACCATGCCAGGCACAAAACGGTTTCAACATGTGATTGAGACCCCAGAGCCTGGCAAGTGGGAGGTGAGACCTTTCTCCATGTTGCCTTCGGTACCAACTCCTAGAATCATTTTTTCATCTGGGCTTCCCTCCACCCTAGGTTTCTTCTCTCTCCTTCTTCCTTCTTATCTTTCTTCCTGATTGTCTTTCCCGATTGGCCCAGAATACCAAGTGCAGGCTGGGTTTCTGGTGTGGTGTGTGTGTGTGAGAGTGTGAGTGAAAATGCTGTGCCTGCCGCCACCCCCCACTGCCGGTGCGGCCGGCATACATGACGCTTTGGCTTCCTGCCTCCATCCCTTTCCCTCCTTGCCTCTAGCTGTCAGGGTATGAGGCAGCAGTGCCAATCACGGAGAAGTCAAACCCACTGACCCAGGACCTGGACAAAGCAGACGCTAAGGAAATTGTTCGATTGCTGGGGCAATGTGATGCCGAGATCTTCCAGGAGGAGGGGCAAGCCACGCCCACATACCAGGTGACCCAGAACTACCCCTTGGATACTGCAAGGAAAGATGCAAACCCCAATCCCCTCTCTACCTCTGCCCACCCCCACCCTGGGTCTTGATTTTGGAAACCCTGAGAGCACCTCCACCCAGCACACACTCTAACCCACTGTTCTCCTTTCCTTGGCTTCTGATTATTGCCCATCCCCTACAGAGACTCTACAGCGAATCAGTTCTGACTACCATGGTCCAAGTGGCAGGAAAAGTTCAGGAAGTGCTGAAGGTACTAGCCCTCCATCTCGTTCCTCCTAAGCGTTTGTTTCCCTTTCTCTTATTTCGGTTTCCACTCTTCACTTTTATAGCCCTGCCATCTCCTGTCTTTACTAATCAATAATAATTTTAACTATTATCTGCATAATACTTCTACATTTACAGTGTGCTTTCATACCCACCGTCCTCTCAAAAACCTGTTAAGTTGGTGCTACTGTCTTTATTTTTTCCAGATAAGGAAACAAAGACTTAGAAAGGATAAGCACAGTAGCTTGCTCAAATACACCCAGCTAAGAATTGCAGGATAATGCCGCTTCTATTATTTATTTTTATTTAGATGACAAAGCTCTTGGTTCTTTTTTGGGTAGGATAAGTAAGGATCTGAATAACTAGCTAAGCCAGAGATGGGAGTCAAACAGAAGTTTCTTTCTCTAACTCAATGTTTTTATTTTTTTCTTTGTGTGTGTGTTTGTGTGTGTATGTATGTTTGCGATACCACACTGCCTATGTGCTATTCAGTTTTGTGAATAGAACAAAAGACATGGGATAAAGAGTCTCTCTAATTTCTCTTCCACTACTGACAAAGAAAAAAAAAAATGCCTTCTATAACCTGAGCTGGACCCTGGTGACCTACGCATATTTTCTTTCTCAGGAGCCAGATGGGGGGCTGGTGGTACTGAGTGGAGGGGGCACCTCTGGCCGGATGGCATTCCTCATGTCGGTGAGTTCCCTGACCCTGTTTGACTTCCTACCCCTTCTCGGGAGTGACCATAAAGCTCATCATAGCTAAGTTCCCAGGGAGAGCTCTCACTAGACCTGGGCTCCCGGCCTGGCCCTCTCCTCCAAGAGCTGGATCTCACCATGGGGTCTCACTCATCTGAGCCCATCTGAGGCCCACCAGTTGACTGCCAGTGTCTACATCCCATGCACCCAATTAGTCATCTCCATGCAGTATCTTTAAGGGTCAGATTTCAAGTAGGACTGGTTTAAACACTGGCCTAAGAGAATCATTGTACAGACTCTGTCCTCTAGGAGTTGAAAATCCAAGATAATTGTTCTGTCACTATTATTACCCCTTTATCCTCTCGCCTTGGACAGGTCTCCTTTAACCAGCTGATGAAAGGTCTAGGACAGAAACCTCTTTATACCTATCTCATTGCAGGAGGTGACAGGTACGTCACTTTGGCGTGTGAATGTTTCGTTTGGCTTGAGTAGTGTTATTTAGAAATTGAATTGGAATACCTTTAGACAGAGATTGTGTCCAGTTTGCCTTGGTCTCTACCATTCCTTGTTGCCTTACACTTGGTTCACTTCACATACTTCTGTTGCCCGACCGCCCCGGCAGGTATTTGAGTTTTTCAACCCTACAGAGTGTCTGTCATCATGCCTGGCAGACAGTGGGTGCTTGTTCAGTCTGGGTTTTCCCGTCATTCCCTTCTCTCAATGCAGCTGTCCCAATGAACCAAAAACTTAGGCTTCCAAAGCAGTGCCAATGACCTTGAATCTGTCCTCTTAGGTCCGTAGTGGCTTCTAGAGAGAGAACAGAAGACAGTGCCCTGCATGGGATTGAGGAACTGAAGAAGGTCTGTACTTTGCACTGATAGCAGACAAAGACCTCTGTTCCATATACAAGCCCCGGCATTCAGCCAAAGCCTGTTATCTCCCCTGGTTCTGGCCTGATATCCTCACACAATAGGTCTGTACACTAGAATCCTTCCCTGTTGCACTATCTTGCTCGTCTTCTTCTCCTAGGTGGCTGCTGGGAAGAAGAGGGTGATCGTCATTGGCATTTCGGTGGGACTTTCTGTGAGTGCGAAGACAGATTGAGTGGATCAGTTTTACGGGGTTGGGGGAGCGAGGAATGGAATAGCGTGGAAGATAAATTGAAGTACTAGAAAACAAAATTTGCACAAAGAATTTTGATTTTAGTTCACTAATTTGGACCTAATGGTATGATTGTGGGATGAGGGGGAAGGGGCCCTTTCTCAAAGTAACTGTGTATCAACCTATAAACCATCAAGATAGATGGACTTAGTCCAGAGGTTAGCAAACTATGTTGGCAGGCCAGTCCAACTAGCTGCCAGTTTTTGTAAATCACGTTTTATTGGAACACAGCCATTTGTGTTTACCTACGCTGTGTGGCTTCTTTTATGCTACAGCAATAGGGGTGTTAACGGTTGACAGAGATCATAGGGCCTACAGATGCGGAAACATTTAATGTCTGGCCCTTTACAGAGAACTCCGATCCTGGGCTACTTCCTTCCTGCTTAAAGTATGGTCCCTGCACTAGCAACATTAGCCTGCTGGGTCTTGTGACAAATGCAGGTTTTCAGATCCCACCTCAGACCTGCCGAGTCTGAGACTGCATTTTAACAAGATTCCCAGGTAGTTTGCGTGCATAGGCCTAGGCTAGCTGGCTACAAGTTTCCTTTCAACTCTGTAGCTCTCCGATTCTAAGAATTCACTAAGCAGAAACTGGATTCCAGCAGTATTAGACATAGAAAGAGGTAGGAAAGGAGAATAAGATAGTGCTTTTAAGGGGCTTACAATTGATTTCAATAGTTTTCAGACTTCACTGTGCAGAAGATTTTTCCTTTGCTAACCATGTAGACACCTGGGCCCTCTTCTTCCAATTCGAATCCAGGAGAGCCTAACTAGGCCCAGGAATCTGCATTTCTAATAAACGTTCTGGGGCATTCTCATGCAGATGGGCCATGGGCAGCACTCAGAGTATCTTCTCTGTCCTGCCCTCCTCTCTCCCTGCCATCAGGCTCCCTTTGTGGCAGGCCAGATGGACTACTGCATGGACAACACAGCGGTCTTCTTACCAGTCCTGGTTGGTTTCAATCCAGTGAGTATGGCCAGGTGAGCCCTCTGTAATGAAAGATGGTGACTGGCTAGCCCTGGGGGAGGCAGCAGGGGAACATGTCCAAGTCTATAGTACAACCACAAGGAGAGGACAGATGAGTACAGACTTGTTCGCCAAATCTCAGAATATTAAGGTACATTTGGAGTACCCTGAGCTAGTGAGTTTTCTGGTTGTTGATTGGTTTCCTTCATTATGCTCTCATTTCAAAAAGGACTGAAGGCAGTAAACAAAGGATACATAAATTAGTAAGACAGCATACAACTAAAACAGGGATTAAAGAAGCCAGGAAAACAAAGGCTGGACAATAAAATGAGGTCAGAACAATGCATCCTGCAGAGATGTGTACTTTCATTTGGGGTGAGCTCCAAGCATCTTTTCTTTTTTTTTTTTTTTTGAGAGGTTTTTGCTATAGGGAGTATGCGCTTGCCATATAGACAGAGAGAGATAGAAAGTGAGAAATCACCCCCCGGGGGGATGGCCATGCCACAGTCCCTTCTCCTCCATTCTCCTCTCGGAATCTTGGGCATGCACACACATGTGCCCGGCATGAGTTTAAGCTGCCGGGTCCGGGACTCGAATTGCAGTCGACTACATGGGAGTCCAGCGACATAGCCATTACACTAACTGCTGGTCCCTCCAAGCATCTTTTCAAAGTAGTGGCAGTATGTGCCATTTTGTCCAGCTCCCTCGTTTCAGTTCTCGTTCTCTCTCATCATTCCTGACAACCCTCTGCTCCCCTCTAGCGACTCAAATTTCCACCTTGTTTCCTTCCCTGAGAGGCCTGTGCCATCTGCGCCATGTCACCCCTCCTACCTATACTTCCTTTATTCTCTATCCAGCTGGCCACTCTGATCTCAGGGAAAGTCAACATATTAAACCAGTAGTGCTCAGATGTGGTATTGTGCATGAGCTGCCTGGGAAGGGTTTTTTAAAAAGGAAGAAAGAAGATTCTTAGCTCCCTGGGTAAGAGGTCAGATTTTGAAAGTTTGAGGTAAGGGCCTGAAATAGCGTTATTTTGAAAGCGTCCCTGGAGATTCTTATATACAGCCTGCTTTGGAGAACTCTGCTAATACACCTCTGCAGTGGACCACCTGATAAAGTGAGGGTTTCAAACTGGAGGAATTCCAGAAAGGCTTGTTGATTATTTAGAGAAGCTTCGTGTATTTAGTAGCTGTCTTGGGGAGGGGGTCAAGCTGGCTTCCTTCTGACTCTCTTTTTCAAATCCCAGATTCCAGGCTTGTAGTATAATTCATACGAAGGTGTAAATAAGTCTGAAATACTCCTAACCCTGATTCTTTTCATGGAGGACTCTCCTTCACCAAAAATGTATCTGCGGCAGTGGATGCTAATTTCAGGCCCTGTGACTAAGTGAAATGAAGAATTTCAAACAAAGTAGGCGTGGAGATTTTCCAGTTGTTCCTTCAATCAGTGGCTCCCAAACTTGGCTGATCTTCAGAGTCGTCTGGGAAGCTTTTTAAAAATACAGATTTTTGGGCTCGACTCCAGAAGTACTGAATCTGAATCTCAGGATGGATGTGGTACTCAGAAATGGGTAGTTATTAAAAAACAAAACTGCCCAGGTGACTCTGATGCCCAGCCAAGTATGAGAATCTTGATTTTCAATGACACAGTGTGGAGACTCTCTACTTTTTCTGCTTACGTCTCTACTTTCGTAGGGCTCCAGGAAGTTTCAGAAATAGTTTGAGAACAAATGATGGTAGACACTTTACACAGTGACTTGAAATATGTGAAACTCATCCGCCCTAGAAGTAATACGAAGGAAAAAATATGAAGAGTTTAAGAAGGGATGGAACCTTTACAGGAATGAGATGCTAAGAGGAAATTAGTTATGTCTTGTACAGAGCTAACTCTTTGAGGTCTGCCACAGTGGGTTATTCACAAAGTATCTCCTAGCGAGGTCTTTAGAAATTGGGCCAGCAGGTGGTGTGGATCTGCATTTTAATTTATTTATTAATTTAGAGGAATTTTTTTTGCTATAGAGTGTGTATGCTTGCTAGAGAGACAGAGAGAAAGTGAGAAAACAACCCCCTAGGGGAGGATGGCCACACTGCAATCTCTTCTCCTCCATTCTCCTCTTGGGCTTTTGGGCACACATGCCCAGACATGTATACACATGCCCAGGCATACAGACACATGCACACACATGTGCCTGGTGTGAGTTTCAAGTGACTGAGTTAGGGAATCAAACCATGGTTGACCACGTGGGACTCTGACACTTTAATCAGTATGTCACCTGCTGGCCCCAACCTGTATTATTATTTTTTTTTAGAAAGATTTTTGCTATAGGGCATCCGTGCTTGCCAGAGAGACAGAAAATAAGAAATCACCCCCCCCAAGGGGGATGGCCATGCCACCTTCTCCATTCTCCTCTCGGGATTTTGGGCATGCATGCATACGTGCCTGGTGTGAGTTATAAGTCACCAGGTCCAGGACTTGAACTATGATCTACTACGTGGGAGTCCAGTGAATGTAACCATTCTGTCATCTGCTGGTCCCTCCTGGATCTGTATTTATTTATTTTATTTTTTAAGAGAGATTTTTGCAATGGGCACATGCACTTGTGGAGAGACAGACAGAGAGATAAAAAGTGAGAAATCACCCCCCACAGGGGATGGCTACACCACAATCCCTCCTCCATTCTGCTCTTGGGAGTTTGAGTATACACACACATGCAACCAGCTTGAGTTTTAAGCCACTGGGTCCGGGTCTTGAACCGTGGTCAACTATGTGGAAATCCAGCAACATAACCATTATGCCACCTGCTGGTCCCTGGATCTGTATTTTTTAAAAAAGTCTCAGCTGACTCTGAAGCACTGGGTCTCATATGGCTGCCTTCACAATTCAAGTCCTGGACCCGGCAGCTTGATAAAACACACCGGATGACAGATGTTCCCCCAGGGGTTTATGTGGCCATGACAGCGGGGCTTATGAAAGGACAATGTACAGAAACACTCTGGTCTCAGGCTGTAACTTTAAACATGAGTGCTGACTTTGCTCTGGCCTTAAGTTACGGAATGTTTATTAACCCCTGTTCTTGAGGTTCAAGGACACAGTTTTAAAGTTTTCAAGCACATCGGGGGACCAGCAGTTAGCGTAATGACTATGTCGCTGGACTTCCACGTAGTCGACCGCGGTTCGAGTCCTGGACCCGGTGGCTTAAACTCATCCCGGCCGCGTGTGCGTGTGTGCCCAAGATCCCGAGAGGAGAATGGAGGAGAAAGGATTGTGGCGTGGCCATCCCCCTTGGGGGGTGATTTCTCGCTTTCTGTCTCTCTGTCTCTGTCTGTCTGTCTGGCGAGCACACGCGCCCTATAGCAAAAACCTCTTCCAAAAAAAAAAGTTTTCAAGCACATCTTTCTGTGAAGTTGTTGACCTTTGACTCCAATTCAGTGTGGTCTTTGAACCTGACTCCCAGCGGAGGCCCTTCCTTCAGATCCTCACAGACATCTCTCCCCCTACCTTTGTGTCTCTCTGGACACCAGAAATGACCCCATCGAAGACTGGAATTCAACATTCCGACAAGTAGCAGAGCGGATGCAGAAAATGCAAGAGAAGCAGGAAGCTTTCGTGCTCAATCCTGCAGTTGGGGTATGATGGCCCTCTCCTTTCCTACCCCACCCCTCGTCCCCTTCTCAAGAATCTGGGGATGGATTCTCACTTCCTTAGGGCCTCTGATGTTAGGCTCTGTCTGAGGCATTGTATGTCAATTAAAATGTTATAAATCAAACTCTTCCTTCTCATCTAATTGTTTTCCTTCATTTAAAGAGACTGCCTTTCACACAAGAATACAACTTTAAATCCAACTACTGAGTTCATATCTTAGCTCCAACCACTTACAAATTCTGTGACCTTGCACAGGTTATGTTACCACTCGATTACCACTTTATTATCATCTTTATGGAACTAAAATAGTACCACCTTATTTAGCTGTTATGACTATTTGGTTTATCTTTTTTTCTTAAGAGAGATTTTTTGCTACAGGATGCACACACTCTCTAGAGAGACAGAAAGTGAGAAATCACACCCCCCCCCAAGGGGGATGGCCATGCCACCTTCTCCATTCTCCTCTCGGGATTTTGGGCATGCATGCATACGTGCCTGGTGTGAGTTATAAGTCACCAGGTCCAGGACTTGAACTATGATCTACTACGTGGGAGTCCAGTGAATGTAACCATTCTGTCATCTGCTGGTCCCTCCTGGATCTGTATTTATTTATTTTATTTTTTAAGAGAGATTTTTGCAATGGGCACATGCACTTGTGGAGAGACAGACAGAGAGATAAAAAGTGAGAAATCACCCCCCACAGGGGATGGCTACACCACAATCCCTCCTCCATTCTGCTCTTGGGAGTTTGAGTATACACACACATGCAACCAGCTTGAGTTTTAAGCCACTGGGTCCGGGTCTTGAACCGTGGTCAACTATGTGGAAATCCAGCAACATAACCATTATGCCACCTGCTGGTCCCTGGATCTGTATTTTTTAAAAAAGTCTCAGCTGACTCTGAAGCACTGGGTCTCATATGGCTGCCTTCACAATTCAAGTCCTGGACCCGGCAGCTTGATAAAACACACCGGATGACAGATGTTCCCCCAGGGGTTTATGTGGCCATGACAGCGGGGCTTATGAAAGGACAATGTACAGAAACACTCTGGTCTCAGGCTGTAACTTTAAACATGAGTGCTGACTTTGCTCTGGCCTTAAGTTACGGAATGTTTATTAACCCCTGTTCTTGAGGTTCAAGGACACAGTTTTAAAGTTTTCAAGCACATCGGGGGACCAGCAGTTAGCGTAATGACTATGTCGCTGGACTTCCACGTAGTCGACCGCGGTTCGAGTCCTGGACCCGGTGGCTTAAACTCATCCCGGCCGCGTGTGCGTGTGTGCCCAAGATCCCGAGAGGAGAATGGAGGAGAAAGGATTGTGGCGTGGCCATCCCCCTTGGGGGGTGATTTCTCGCTTTCTGTCTCTCTGTCTCTGTCTGTCTGTCTGGCGAGCACACGCGCCCTATAGCAAAAACCTCTTCCAAAAAAAAAAGTTTTCAAGCACATCTTTCTGTGAAGTTGTTGACCTTTGACTCCAATTCAGTGTGGTCTTTGAACCTGACTCCCAGCGGAGGCCCTTCCTTCAGATCCTCACAGACATCTCTCCCCCTACCTTTGTGTCTCTCTGGACACCAGAAATGACCCCATCGAAGACTGGAATTCAACATTCCGACAAGTAGCAGAGCGGATGCAGAAAATGCAAGAGAAGCAGGAAGCTTTCGTGCTCAATCCTGCAGTTGGGGTATGATGGCCCTCTCCTTTCCTACCCCACCCCTCGTCCCCTTCTCAAGAATCTGGGGATTGATTCTCACTTCCTTAGGGCCTCTGATGTTAGGCTCTGTCTGAGGCATTGTATGTCAATTAAAATGTTATAAATCAAACTCTTCCTTCTCATTAGATGTTTTATCTTCTTTCCAACCCTGTCTCTCAAATCAGTAGTAATCATTAAAACACTCCAATGATCTAGGGCAGTTTCTGCTTGAAAGAACTCTTCTCCATCTCTGTACAGAGCTTCGAACAGCTTTTATCTCATTCTGTCTCTTTCGTATGTTGATATTTCAAATATGGGTTTCTAAAAAAATGGGATGCATTTTCCTTCTTCTGCTTTTCAAAATCATCTCCAAAATTGGGGCCCAGAGGTGCTGTGATGGGTAAAGCACTGGACTCCCTCATAGCTGATTATGGTTCCAGTCCTGGACCTGGTGGCTTGCTTTCTCACTTTCCCCCTCTCTCTCTCTGTCTCTCTCTGGTGAGTGTACATGCCTTATAGCAAATGAAATAATAATAACAATAAAGTTAATTAAATAAATACATTTTTTAAAAAAGTGGATGGGTCTTCTTAGCTCCAGTAGTCCTGCTCATTTTTCCTCTTCAGGACTGTGGATGCATTTTACCAGCACCACCCACCCTTACTTTGACCTCAGCAGGGCCTTAGTCAGATCCCTGTTTGTGCCTCACCATGACTGTCTCCTGATTTATCCTTTTGTGAGATAGGAAGATAAAAACCCTATATTATGCAAGGGTATCTTTCATCTTCCAGATGCTCATCTCTCTTTCATCCTCTCTGTCATTGTTGATTTTCAATCACTTTTTCTCAGTTGCTGTTTGTATCAACCTCTTTGCTGTAATCTCTCTTTTTAAATTTGATGTGCTTTGTTTCATAGCTGTACCACTGCAATGGCTGCTTCATTGGTCTGTCCAAAGCATGTTAAATGTGGCATTTGTATTGACCCACTAATCCCCAAAAATGGTAGTAGTGGTGATAGTAGGTGGGAAGAAAGTTCTTGGAAAGCAAAATCCTATCTTAAAAACCCTTGATCTAGCTGATAAAGGCCCCAATCACTGGGACTTCCCCCCCCAGGGAGTCTTGAATATACCATAGGAATGGCCAGAAATGGCCCTTTTCCTCTCTCCTCTCCTCTCAGTTAAGCCCTCCCCAGCACTCCTTTTTTTTTTTTTTGGAGACGTTTTTGCTATAGGGCGCATGTGGTAGCCAGACAGACAGAGAGACAGAAAGCGAGAAATCACCCCCCAGGGGGGATGACCATGCTGCAATCCCTTCTCCTCCATTCTCCTCTTGGGATCTTGGGCACGCACGCACACGCGCCCGGCGTGATTTTAAGCCACCGGGTCCAGGACTCGAACCGCGGTTGACTACGTGGGAGTCCAGCGACATAGCCATTACTCTAACTGTTGGTCCTCCCAGCACTCCTTTTCACAGCACACTGGGGCTGGTATCATCAACTGCATGCCCAGGGTCACTAACCAGGGGACTCGGGTCCTCCTTTCTCTCCCGATTCCTCCTGATTGTCATTGATGCCTCAGCCTGAAGGTCTCAGTGGCTCCTCCCGGATGAAAGGTGGAAGTGCCACCAAGATCCTGCTGGAAACCTTGTTATTAGCAGCACATAAGACTGTGGACCGAGGCATTGCAGCATCGCAAAGGTAGGGAGGATCTGGACAAAGGAGAAAGAGGGTGGGATAGTGTGGGTGGGAGAATGGCAGGTCCAGATTCAGAAACTGGACTGGTACCAGTAAGATTCACCACTTCCCTCTGGGAAAGGAGCTGGCAAGTGGATGCTGCCATTTTCACTGTGCAGTCACAGAGCATGAATGGTTGTGGGTGAACCCTGGATTTGTCAGCTACAGACCTAATCTCTAAGCCTGCCTGGGCTGCCAAAGCTAGCCTAGCTTCTGAGGGTTCTTTGATTTGGGTGTGGTCTGGTCGTGCAGAGTAGAGTTTGTTCTGCTGTGGCCTCGTTTGCTGCCTGCTCACTCACTCCTTAACTTTCAGATCCTCCTCCCAATGCCCTCCTGATACCCATCACCCTGTTTCTGTTCTTTTGTTTTCTGCCCACTGAAGCCCTTTTTTGTACTTCCTGAATGCAGTCTGGTTCTTCTCTGCATTTCTACCAAAGAACAGCAAAACATAGTTTTAAGGATATTATGTCTCCCCCTCTCTGGGGAGTACCCAGGTTTCTAAGGGAGTACTGGGCTCACCCTGGGAGCTGATGGCTTTCCTCCCAGATGCCTCCTGGAAATTCTGCGGACATTTGAGCGGGCCCATCAGGTAACCTACAGCCAAAGCCCCAAGATTGCAACCTTGATGAAGCAAGTCAGCACCAGGTATGTGGTATGTGTTTGGAGAGAGATATGGCTTAGATGGGAAAGTCTTGAGAACCAGACAGCCTCGAGACATGTAAAGATAGTGAGGGTATGGGGCCCACAGGTGGCATGGTGGTTGAAGTACTGGACTCCCACATGGACCATGGTGTTTTGAGTCCCAAACCTGACAGCTGAAAAATCATGCCAGGCATGCGTGTGTGCCCAAAATCCCAGAAGGAGACTGGGGGAGAAGGGATTGTGGTGTGTCCATTTCCTGGAGTGGGGTGTGATTTCTCACTTTCCCTCCCACTGTCTCTCTGTGGTGAATGCACATCCCCTATGGCAAAAACCTAAAAAATAAAATAAAATAAAATAAAACGAAATAAGATAAAATAAAATATGGTAAGGGTAATGAGTCTGCATGTTAGAGGGTCTTGGTAGGCTCCTTGTTTACCCCTGTGTTTTCCCCAAGCATCTCTCTCCTGTTTTCACTGTGATCTCTCCTCTCATGCCTTGACTTCTGACTTGTCCTCAGCCTGGAGAAGAAAGGCCGAGTGCACTTGGTTGGCTGGCAGACCCTTGGCATCATTGCTATCATGGATGGAGTAGAGTGCATCCACACCTTTGGCGCTGGTGGGACCCCAGTCCAGATGTTGCCCCTGATCCCAACCAACTGTTCTGCTATCCAAATACTCTCTTACTCCCAACCCATCCTGCTCTATCTAAACAGCATCTCAGTAAAAGGTCCTTCCTTTGAACCCTGACTCAGTCCTTGATCCTTCCACTTCACCCTCGTGCTTAGCTATGGCTACCCATATGGGTTACCCCTCACCCCATACCCCACTTGCTGCTTCCCTCCCAGTCCCATTGACATGCTTTCTTTCCCATCAAGTTATCACTCCTCTCTTCCTGACCTTAAACTTCCCAGATTTCCGAGATGTCCGTGGCTTTCTCATTGGTGATCACAGTGATATGTTTAACCAGAAGGCTGAGCTCACCAACCAGGTCAGGGCAAGGGGAAGTGCTGCAGATCATTGGTGTGCCAAGGGTGGGAGAAAAGGGAACTATGGGATAGTCTAGAGAAGGGAATATGGGTCAGAGTCAAGAGACTTTTGAGGAGGCACAGGGAGTATGGACAGCTCTCACCTCCTAAACCTGGCTCTAGTCCACTACTGGCTTCATTGTCTTGGGTGAAACACTTTACCTTTTTGAACCTTGATTTTTTTTTTTTTTTTCATCTGTAGACAAGAGGGCTGTGTTAGATGTCTTCTAAGGTTCCTTTGAGTCTTCAAGTCTGAGAGAGTTTTCCTGGAAGGACACTCCCATTTTCTTTTGCCCCAGGGTCCTCAGTTCTCCTTCTCCCAGGAGGATTTCTTGACTTCCATCCTGCCATTCCTCACGGAAATCGACACTGTGGTCTTCATTTTCACCCTGGATGGTAAGGGGGAAGATGAGAGTGTGGGGTGATGGGACAGAGGCTGTCATTCTTCTAGGGGACATTCACCTGCTCCAAGGGAGGGATGGAGTGAGTGTTTTAACTAGGCCCCAAGGGAGCAGAAACAGCTGCACAGTCAACCTTTCAGCTCTGTGGCCTCATGTCTTAGATAACCTCAAGGAGGTGCAGACCCTAGCAGAGCAGGTGAGGGAGAAGACCTCCAACATTCAGGCCCTGGCACACAGCATTGTGGGGCAGTCCTTGCCGGTAAGCAGCTATCCTGGAAGAGGGGACCCTGGTCGGCCATTACAGCCAGGCCTGCCTGAAGATGCCTCTCCTGTTCCTCTTTCTCTTCAGACCCCGCTGAAGTTTTTTCATCATCAGCATTACATGGCCATTGCTTTTTTTTGAATATGAAGGAAACTTTGTCCAGGTATGGGAATGAGAAGGGAATGTCTGCAGGGAGGACCTCGGAGGGGGAGGGATTCCAGGAATTTGGAGACCCAAGGCTGGAGGCTAGAAAGCTCCAAGGGTCTGGCCTCTGCAAAGCCAGCTGGGCAAGTGCTTGGGCTACCAGATCATTAGTGAGTGTTCCCAGGGCAATGGACCACTGGGATCAGCTCTCTCTAGGAATAGGCAAAAAGTGCAGAACAGGCCACAAGGCACCTGAATAGATGTTCATTTGCCCTTTGGGTCAGGTTAATTGTCAATGCTATAGTCATCGTAATTATACAAACACCTTGAGGCAGTTTTTTTTTTTCCCCTCAAGTTATGCTATGCTGAATTCCCAGAGCGTAGTATTCACAGATACACTTCCCGCTTGCTAAGGAAATTATAATCCAATAAAAGCACTGATAATAATCACAGAGATAGGGCCAGCTGGTGGCATGGCGTTTAAAATGGCTGAGTCCCACTCACCAACTGTAGGTTTGAATCCCAGACTCGCAGTTTGAAAAAGCATGCTGGGCACATGTGCATGTGTGCCCAAAATCTTGAGAGAGAGCAAGAGAGAGAGAGAGACAGAGTGTACCTTCTAATAGGTTATGGTCACTGTAATCCCTTTTTCCTCATTTCTTTATCCCATCAGGATTTGGGGCACACACACATATGTTCTGGTCTCTCTAAAAAAAGAGAAAGAATTCTTTTAAATAATTATTTATCTTATTTTATTTTATTATTACTAATAATTTTTTATTTTGACCAGAGAGAGAGAGAGAGACAGATAAAAAGGGAAAGTGAGAAAGCAAGCCTCCAGGTCTGGGACTCGAATCATAGTTAACCATATGGGAGTCCAGAGCATTAACCACCACACCACCTGCCAGTCCCAAGTATGTAAATTTTTAAAACTCTTTTATAGGGACTGGCAGGTGGCATGGTGGTTAAAGGTGTTGGGCTCCCACATGGCTGACCGTGGTTTGAATCCCAGACCTGGTGGCTTGTTTTCTCATTTTCTCTCTCTCTCTCTCACTTTGTCCCTCTCTGGTCAAATTAGAAATTAATTAAATAAAGTTAGATAAAATAATTCTTTATTAAAAAAAACCCTCTTTTATATATATGGTCAAATTGATCTCCAAAATTGATCTCCAAAGAGGTTTCTAAATCCTGACAGAATGGAGAAATGAAGGAGAAAGGATTGTGAAATTTCTTGTTCCCTCACACCCTTATAAACTCTGGGTAGTATTCTTTTTGATCCTCACTAATTAAGCAAAGCAATAAAACAAAAGGTATTTCAGGCCCAGCCATAGTGGCATGTACTGGTTAATGCTGCTACTCACCAGCGAAAGGTCACATGGGAAACTGTGTTTGATTCTCACTCATGGGACAAACATAAACTTTAAAAGTAAAGAAATACGTGGCCGGCAAGTGACATGGTGGTTAAAGGCACTGGATTCCCACATGGCCAACTGTGTTTTGAGTCCTTGCTTTCTCACTTTCCCTCACTCTCTCTCTCTCTCTGTTTTTCAAATTAAATAATAATAATAAAGTTAAATAAAAATAATTCTTAAAAAAAAAAAAAAAAGGGAAACAAATACAGAGGCCAGCAAGTGGTGTGGTTGAGGCACTGGACTCCCACAAGGCCAGTCATGGTTTGAGTCCCAGACCTGGTGGCTTGAAAATCATGCCTAGCATGTGTGTGTCTGAGTGTATGTTTGTGTGTGGCAGGGGGGGGTTTGTGTGTGTATGTGTGTGCCCAAAATCCCAGGAGGAGAATGGAGGAGAAGGGATTGTGGCGTGGCCAATTCCCCGGCAGGGGAGTGATTTCTTACCTTCCCTCTGACTGTCTCTCTCCAGTCCACACTCTATGACAAAACCTTAAAGAAAAAAAAAAAAAGGAATTGTTTGAATAAGGAAGCTTTCATTAGGGCATGCACATCTTTAATTGTAAATTGTTTTTAAGATCAAATTTTGCCATGTTCAGACCTTTCTGCCTCAGCCTAGGAACATTTTTAATATAAACTGTCCCACATTTTTATTTTGAAAAATTTCACACCTACAGAAAAATTGCAAGAATAGTACAACGAACATCCCTGTACTTTTCCTAGAGTCACCAATCATTAGCATTTTGCTGCATTTGCTTTATCTCTCTTTTTCCTCTGAATCTTTTTTTTTTTTTTTTTTTAGGGAACTTTTTGCTGTAGGGGGCGTGCCTTCCCCAGAAAGACAAAGAGAAACAGAGAGATAGAAAGCGAGAAATCACTCCCCCCCCCCCGGGGGGGGATGGCCACACCACAATCCCTTCTCCTCCATTCTCCTCTCGGGATCTTGGGCACACGTGCACATGCACCTGGCGTAAATTTAAGCCACCAGGTCTGGGACTCGAACCGCGGTCGACTACATGGGAGTTCAGCAACATAGCCATTACACTAACTGCTGGTCCCTCCTCTGAATCATTTGAAAGATAATTGGAGATAGCATGATACTTCACAGTAATTACTCTGGCATGAGTCCTCTAAGAACAAGGGCATTTGTCTATATAACTACAATATAAGTATCCACCTAGGAGTTGGACAATGAATACTATTATCTAATATCCAGACCATATTCAAATTTCCCCAATAAAAACTATAAACTATAGTTTTTATTTTCCAGATCCAGGATCCAATCAAGAATAATGCATTATATTTAGTTATTAGATCTCTCTTTCTCTCTTTTTTAATCTAGACAACTTCCTCAACTCTTTTTTCTTTTTTGTCTTTCATGATGTTGCTATTTTAAAAGACTAGCTAATAAATTATGGTTATACTACACATACAATTTTTAAAAAATTTGCTATAGGGCATGCGCACTCACAAGAAAGAGTCAAAGAGAGACAGAGAGAGGGATTGTGAGAAGCATGCTCTCGGGGGAGGGTCACGCCACAATCCTTTCTCTTCCATTCTCCTCTTGGGATCTTGGGCACGCACGCACACGTGCCTGGCGTGAGTTTTAAGCCACCGGGTCTGGGACGCGAACCGCGGTCGACTACGTGGGAGTCCAGTGACATAGCCATTACGCTAACTGCTGGTTCCCTAGCCCAATTGTTTTTTTTGAATGTATCTCGTTTCAAATTTGCCTGATTGTTTCTTCCTTATATTTAGGTTGAAATTTTTGGCAGGAGAACTTCTTTGGAGAGATATGGCCTGTATCATTATATCATCTCAGGAGGGCATCCCCTTTGTGCCTTTACTGTTGATACTACATTTCTTCTTTTTCTTTCTTTTCTTTTTTTTTTTTTTTTTGGAGAGGTTTTCGCTACAGGGCACGTGCGCTCACCAGACAGACAGAGAGAGACATAGAGACAGAAAGCGAGAAATCACCCCCCAGGGGGGATGGTCATGCTGCAATCCCTTCTCCTCCATTCTCCTCTCGGGATCTTGGGCACGCACGCACATGCGCCTGGTGTGAGTTCTAAGCCACCGGGTCCGGGATGCGAACCGCGGTCGACTACGTGGGAGTCCAGCGACATAGCCATTACGCTAAGTGCTGGTTCCCCGATACTACATTTCTTTTCTTTTCTTCTCCTTTTTTTTTTAGTTCACTGTAGAGCACATGTGCTCACTGGAGAGAGAGAGAGAGAGAGAGACATAGAGAGAGAGAGCGCGATCACCCTTCTGGGGGGGATGGGCATGCTGCAATCCCTTCTCTTCCATTCCCTCAGTATTTTAGGTACACTTAACAGCAGGTCCAGGACTCAAATTGCGCAGCTGGCCGTGTGGAATCCTGTTGCCTTAACCTCCACGCCACCTGCTGGTCCCAGTGATGCTATATTTCATCATTCAGTTAATGTGGTGTCTGTCAGATTTCTCTGTGCCCTATTTCTCAGCAACTTTTCACCTAATAGTTATTTGAGAGGTTTTTGCCTTAGGGCATGTGTGCAAGGGTTGAGGGGTGGGATAAACACATAGTGAGAAGGAAAGTGAGACATTGCCTCCTGGGGAGATGGCCATGCTGCAATCCTTTCTCTTCCATTCTCCTCTTGGGATCTTGGGCACGCATGCACATGGACTGGGCATGAGTTTTCAAGTCACTGGGACCAAGGCTCGAACTGCTGTTGGCCATGCGGGAGTCCAGCAATGTAACCACTACGCTATCTGCTGGCCCCACTATGGTAGTTTTAAAATTATTTATTTTTATATCCCTTCCATCTATATTTATGAGATGGCATTCTTCTATAAAAACAAAACAAAGCAAAAACAACAACAAAAATCTTTTATCTTAGGCCAGTCCCATAGCTTAGTGGTTAAGGGCATAAGATCCCACATGGGAGGGGCTGGCAGGTGGTGTGGTGGTTAAGGTGCTGGACTCCCACATGGTTGACCACAGTTCAAGTCTTGGACCTGGCTGCTTGCGTGTGCGAGATCCCACATGGGCAACAGAGGCTCAATTCCCTGTCCAACAGCTTGAAAAACAGGCCAGGAGTATGTATGTATGCCCCAAATATTGACAGGATGGAGAAATGAAGGTGAAAGGGTTGTCAAGTGACCAGGCATCATTGAGGGATGCTTTCTCCCTCTCCTTCTTCTCTGTCTCTGTCCCTGGTGAGCACATGTGCCCTCTGCCAATTAAAAAAAAGAAAGAAAGGAATGAAGGAAGGAAGGAAGGAAGTCCCAAAGGAAGGAAGGAAAGGATAGAGACCTAGTTCACAGAGTCATTAAAAAGATTAACTGGAAATCATTTTTCTTTCTTTTTTTTTTTTTTTTTGAGAGGTTTTTCGCTATAGGGCGCGTGCGCTCGCCAGACAGACAGAGAGAGACATAGAGACAGAAAGCGAGAAATCACCCCCCAGGGAGGATGGTCACGCCGCAATCTCTTCTCCTCTATTCTCCTCTCTGGATCTTGGGCACGCACGCACACATGCCCGGCGTCAGTTTTAAGCCACCAGGTCCGGGACGTGAACCGCAGTCGACTACGTGGGAGTCCAGCGACATAGGCATTACGCTAACTGCTGGTTCCCTGGAAATCATTTTTCAACAAACATGTTTTGATCGGCAACTGTGTGTCAGCCATTGTCAAAAAGACTAGTGCTCTAGAACAAAGACCCCATCTCTGCCCTCAAGGAGCCTGTGATTTAGTGAAATAAATTCGAGGACTTTCATTCCTCCTCTGATACCCTGATACCCAAAAGGAAAGTTCTGGTAAGAGAAAGACCTGTTGTGCAAAGTCTCAGAGAAGATCGATGTCCATCCAGGGTTCAAAACCACAAATAACAAGCCATCAGGTTTGCCTGGGACTGACTTGGTCTGCACCTACTATCCAAACCTAAATTCTGGGCTGGTCAAATTGTGTTTGTGTTTTGGTCCCAGGTTTCAACAACAGTTTTTTTTTTTAATCTAACAGTAGGGTCCCTTTACCTTGCTCCTCGCCTGTCCTCTAATTTTCAATACCCCTATGTGTCTGCTCTCTTTAGAAGTTCCAGCGTGAGCTAAGCACCAAGTGGGTACTGAATACGGTGAGTACAGGAGCCCATGTGCTGCTCGGGAAGATCCTACAAAACCACATGCTAGACCTCCGCATTAGCAACTCCAAGCTCTTCTGGCGGGCCCTGGCCATGTTGCAGGTAAGGACAGGATGGGGTGTGGCTGTCTGGGACCTGGCCTCAATGCCAAGGTTGGCATAGGAGAGGATTTTGCAGAAGTATGGCAATGTGTGTGACTTTTCTCTGTGCCTTCCCTCCTAACAGGAGCCTACTCCTCTCTAAGGAATGTGTGTATGCACAGCTATGTATTTGTGAAACTGTCACTATTAGGCAAGACTCTTTCCATTACAAATATGGGACAGAGTGGGCAGCAGGTGGTATGGTGGTTAAGGTGCTAGACTCCCTCATGGTTAACCATGGTTCGAGTCCCAAACCTGGTGCTTTGCTTTCTTGCTTTCCCTCTCTTTCTCTGTCCCTCTCTGGTGAACACACCTGCCCTATAGCAACTTAAAATAATAATAACAATAATAAATAACATTAAATCAATAATTTTTTAAAAAATGGGACAGAAACCCAATTTAGGCTCTCAAGGCAAATGACTACTCTTGCAACTGAACAGTCAGGGTAGATGGGTCCACATTCTCTAACACTGTGCTCCAGATCCTTCAGTCCTTAGTTTGACTTTGCTCTGATTCTCGGGAAGGTTTTCTCCATGAGAAAGCAACCTGAAATCCTATGAATTTAGCAATCTAGAGGGAAGAGTTTGTCTGTGCCTGGGATTTTTAAAAATGCCTGGGAAGGACTCTCATTATCTTGGCTTGGGTCACATACATGTCCCCAAACCAAACACTGCTCTCTAGGGGAAGGGGCACTCTTCCCAGTTTGGCTCATGTGCTTTCCCTTCAAGATGGTGGCAGAGGAAAGGGAGGGCGAGGAGCCTCAATCAAACCTCATACTCTGAACTTGGGGGAGCAATAGTTGCCCAGAGGAATGTCAAGGTGCAGGTACCAGAAGGAGAAGGCATGGAGGCTGAGCAGATAGCACAACAGATGGTCATGAAAGTAGGGTTGCCAGATTTAGCAAATAAAAATACAGGACACTCAGTTAAATTTGAATTTCAGATAAATAAAGAATTTTTTTTTTTTTAGTATAAGTATGTCCCATGGAATTTTTAAGACATACATGAATTTTTTCATTATTTATCTGCTGAATAAGCTGGCAGCCCTCCATGAAAGGAATCAATGGATGGACATTTGGTGAGCACTTACCAGGTCTCTAAAAGAACCCCTTTTTTTTTGCTACAGGTTGCATGTACTCATCAGAGAGTGAGGGAAAGTGAGGGAGAGAGAGAGGACAGAGAGAGGGAGAGAGAGAAAATGAGAAAGCAGAGAAATAGCCACACTGCAATCCTTTTTTCTTTATTTTTCTCTTGGATTTCTGGGCATGCATATACGGGCACCTGGTGTTTTTTTCAAGTCACTAGGTTAAGGACTTGAATTGCACAGTCAGCCAGGTGGGATCCAGTCACCTTACCAACTGCACTGCCAGCTGACCCACGATCTACAGTCTTAACTGAGGCCCAACAAAGTTATCAAAAAGGTGAGGTCATTATGTACTATAGCAAAACAGAGGCTTTATGTTAGAGGAGCTAGGAACTAAGGTTGGTGGTGGCCATGGCTTGGAACAGTAAAGGACAGAAAACCATTTCTGTTGGAAAGGGCATTGGTCCTCCCCTAAATATTTCCTGAGACACTATTTGAAATTGGGAGTGAACATGATCAAGACCTGTCTCAAGGTGGAGTAACTGGGAAAAGAATTTAAATGGGAGTGACTCAAGGCAGCCACAGCAGAGAGAGCTGAGAGCCTGGCTCAGTCCATCTAGAGAGGAGGTGGCCTGGTTAACACAGATAAGGAGATTAGTGACCAATACTTGAGGACCAGCTTCCACTCATTGATTTTTGGATATCTAAGAGAGGAACAAATGAGAAAGGAAAAATTCTTAAGTTATTTTAAATGGAGATTTGATTTATTCTCCATTTGGAATGGACTAAGGTATGGCCTGTGGATATTCCTACCCAGTTATAAAACTTCTGCAAATGAAACTGTACATTTTCAGGGGCAAGTAGGTGGTGTGGTGGTTAAGGGTGCTGGACTCCCACATGGCTGACTGTCGTTCGAGTACCAGACCTGGCAGCTTGCTTTCTCACTTTATCTCCCTCCCTCTCGTCACATTGAAATAAGTAAATAAATAAAGTTAAAGAATGATTTATTTAACTTTATTCATTCATTTATTCTAATTTGACCAGAGAGAGACAAAGAGAGAGAGAGAGGAAGAGAGAAAGCAAGCCACCAGATTCAGGACTCTAACCGTGGTCGGCCATGTGGGAGTGTCTAACACCTTAACCACCATGCCACCTGCTGGTTCCCTAAATAAAATAATTCTTAAAAAAAAAAAAAAGAAAGAAATTGTACATTTTCGGCAGAAAAGGGCTGTCATTTTCCTAAGAGAGATTAGAGCCAAAGAGGGAACAGGGAGGGTCTCTAGGATGCAAAGTTATGTTTCCCGTTTGACCCAAGAGCTGGTGCTAGTGACCATTTTGCCAAACTCATAATCAGATGTCTTATATTCTGGTGGCCACATTTACTATTAACCCTATATTCACTTTTCCCCTAATTCCTGCACTTATCTATACTATGATTTTGAGTCTAAACCAAGAGACTTGTTAACTTAGAATGCACCCCAAATCCAGTGAGAATGTAATAGGTGATATAGAACACTGTAGTGTAGGGACCAAGGAAAAGAGTGGTTAGGCAGGTATCCCCAAAGGGCCAATAAACAACTTTCTATTTCTATCAGAGGAATGAAGAGGAAAATCGACCTGGCAAGGGCAATACTATGTGATCAGCAATGGAAGCAGTCTTCATAGATAAACAGTCTTTTAAGAAATTTTAAAGTGTATAGGGCCAGTGGGTGGCGTGATGGTTACGCTGCTGGACTTCCACATAGTCAAGCGCAGTTTGAGTCCCAGACCTGGTGGCTTCAAACGCATGCTGGGTGCATATGTGTGCGTGCCCAAGATCCTGAGAGGAGAATGGAGGAGAAGAGATTGAGGCGTGGCCATCCCCCCGAGCGGTGATTTCTTGCTTTCTGTCTCTCTGTCTCTCTCCGACAAGTGTACATGCCCTATAGCAAAAATCTCTCAAAAAAACTTTTTAAAGTTTAGTTATTTCTTCCATGAGTGAGAGAGAGACAAAGAGAGAGAGAAAGAGAAACAGAGAGACAGTACCCCCAATAGGGTCTCGACTGTGACCTACCCGCAGCCTCAACCAACTCTGGATCCTGGGCACACACAGGCTCTATGTACGCAGGGAAGTCTCCAGATGCAAACCTGGTTGGCTGTCAGTCAGCCTTGAAAGTGTTCTATTTACTGTAGCGCCATTGTTCCGCCCACGAACAAACTTCACAGCAGGGAACCAGCAGTTAGCGTAATGGCTATGTCGCTGGACTCCCACGTAGTCGACCGCGGTTCGCGTCTCGGACCCGGTGGCTTAAATCTCACGCCGGGCGCGTGTGCGTGCGTGCCCAAGATCCCGAGAGGAGAATGGAGGAGACGGGATTGCGGCGTGACCATCCCCCCTGGGGGGTGATTTCTGGCTTTCTGTCTCTATGTCTCTGTCTATCTGGCGAGCGCACGCGCCCTATAGCGAAAACCTCTCCCCCCAAAAAAAAAAAAACAACTTCACAGCAGGACTTGGCTGGGGGAAAATTAGGAGTCCGATCACCAACTAATGGGTTCGAGGGACACAGCTGAAAATTTTATCCATTTGCCATTAATTCCCCAGTTTGTCCAGCCATCGAAGCACACCAGCCACCCAATTTTTTTCTACACTCAGGGATTATGAGTTTGGAATTGCCTGCACAAGCGACGGTCTCTACAGTCCATTCAACTAGTCTTCAGAATCTCCTCTCGGGATTTCTGCCTCCCATTCTCCCAATTCCTTCCTTCTTTCTCTTTTTATAAAAATATTTATTTATTTATTATTTAATTTGCTCCAGGCAAATAGAGAGAGAGATTGAGAAAGCAAGCTACCAGGTCTGGTACTTAAACTGCAGTCACCCATGTGGGAGCCCAATGTTTTAACCACCATACCACCTACTGGCTCCCTCTCCTGGTGCCTTCTTTTCCTTAAGGCCAGTCTTAGTTCCCCTGGCCTTCTAGTCCAACACTGACCAAATTCTTTCTTTCATAGCGGTTCTCTGGACAGTCCAAAGCTCAATGCATCGAGAGCCTTCTACAAGTGATCCACTTTCCTCAGCCACTGTCAGACGATATTCGGGCCGCTCCCATCTCCTGTCACATCCAGATCGCACATGAGAAAGAACAGGTATCCTGCCTGCTGCTAGTCATTCCATAAACACTTACTGAATATTTTCAATGTCTGGAAACTTTTTTAAAAAAGAAATATTTATTAAGTTCCATTTTAAAATTATTATTATTTTTATATTTTTGGTTCTCTTTCCTCCAAGTATTATTAATGGACATTTCATATACACTCTGCTGTAAGCATCACCCTTTTCTTTTTTAAAAAAATTATTTTATTTAACTTTATTTATTTATTTATTTTACTTTGACCAGAGAGGAACAGAGAGAGAGAGAAAGTAAGCCACCAGGTCTGGGACTTGAACTATGGTTGGCCATGTGAGAGTCCAGTGCCCTTAAGCACTACGCCACCTACTAGCCCCTTATTATTATTTTTTAATCTGACCAGAGAGAAACACAGGGGGAGAGAGAGAGAGAGAGAGAGAGAGAGAGAGAGAGAGAGAGAGAGAAAGCAAGCCACCAGGTCTGGGAATCGAACCATTGTCTGCCATGTGAGTTCAGAGCCTCAACCACCATGCCACATGCTGACCTCCAATGTCTAGAAATTTGCTTAGCACTGAGTTTACAAAGTTCAGTGATGATCTGCCCACAAGGATCTCCTGATTCATGGGGAAGACATGATTGTGACAAGTGGTCACAGAGTGTGGGAAAACAAGTGCTGCTAGGGCACAGAAAAGAAGTCTTTTAGTAGGGGAATCAGGAAAGCAAGAGAGGAGGGGTCTTTGGATTTTGAAGGATGAACAAAAGTTTTCTGGGTCAGGGTGAAGCATTAATTATTGGTTTTGTCCCATCATAGTACTACTTTCTAGTAAATGTTCTACTCTAGTAAATGTTCTAGTATATATTTCTACCTTCTAGAAAACATTCTGCAGCCAACCTTGTGGCTCCTGACTCCCACCCAAATGCGTGGAACCTCAAGGGCTTCTTCTCAGATGACCTCACTTTTTCAGGCTCCCTGTCTTTCTCCACAGGTGATCCCGATAGCCTTGCTGAGCCTTCTGTTCCGGTGCTCCATCCCTGAGGCGCAGGCATACCTGGCTGCAGCTCCTTCTGTCTGTGAGGCTGTCAGGAACGCCCTCACTGGGCCAGGTAGAAAGCGCAACGCAGACCCCCTGGAGACTCTAGAGCCTGCTGTGCAGTGAACTGGTTTCCTGGACACGTGAAGGGGGCCTGCCCTGGCCAGCCTGGGCCAAGGGGACTTGTGTCAGCAGCACACATGGCGGGAGGGAGAGGCCCAATTTCTAGGAGTACCAGCAGCCCAAGGCGGGGAGAAGGATTCTCTCCATTTTGGGGGAGAGTTCTTGCTCTTGACCCCGTGGTTTCCACTTTCACTGGCTTATTATGATTTCAGAAATAAAACTAAATGTCTTATTTTAAAAAGTTACTGCTCCAAAGTCAGTAGAGTAGAAGTGGGGTGGGGTGGGTGTCATGGGCCAATTCCAACAGCAGATTTGTGTCTTTAATTCTCCCCATTCTTTCACGGGCCCTGATCCAAACCTTATCCAGCATCACTATACCCCCGTCTCCAACCTGTAGGTATGCGGGCACACATAAATATACACACATACATTCTAGCCCTACCCAGGCACAAAAAACAAGAAGGAGTAGGAACTTTCAGATAATTCAAGAAAAAAGAGAAAACAGTAAGTTCCTGACATAGGACACCCAGAAAAAGGCAGTCCTGATTAGATAGATATGCAGGATCCTTATCACTGGAATTTATGCTGTGTCCACACATTAGACCAGGAAGTGAGGGTCACACCCCCATGTCTGTACGATGAACATAAGGAACTCGGGGAGTGCTGAGCACCCTTTGGCAGCAAGATCTAACAAACACTAGGAAGCCTATTCTGTCCATTTTAGACCTCAGCTGTCATGTGTTTTGCCAAATCAAGGCCTGTCATCCAGATCCAGGCCAGCTCTTCAGGGCCTGTGACCTATGGCTCCAGTAGTGGAGAGCTGGCTCCCTCTGGTGCCTGAGAATGTCCATGTAACAGACACCCAGGAACATTCCTCTGAGGATAAAAATTCTCTGTTTGGAACTAAGAAGTCAGATTCTGTTTTTTTTTTTTTTTCTTTCTTGTTTTTAAGAATTATATATTTGGGACCAGAAGGTGGCATGGTGTTTAAGGCGCTGGATACTCCCACATGGCCGACCACGGTTCTAGTCCCGGGCCTGGTAGCTTACTTTCTCGCTTTCTCTCTCTCTCCCTCTCTGTGTTTCTATCTGATCAAATTAAATTAAAAAATAAAGGAATGAATACATAAAATTAAATAAAAATAATTAAAAAAGAATTATACATTTAATTTTATTTATTCATTTAATTATTTAATTTGACCAGTGAAAGACACACTGAGAGAAGGAAAGTGAGAAAGCAAGCCACCAGGTCCAGGACTCAAACCATGGTTGGCCATGTGGGAGTGTCAAACGCCTTAACTACCACGCCACCTGCTGGCCCATCAGATTCTGTTTTATGAGGAAAGCATGAACAGCTTTTTTAGGGCAGCCATAAGGCCCCTCTATACATCTGTGGGACTCCAGCCTCTATCTGAGCTCTGTTTTACTGTTCTACATCTTTTCATTGGTGCTAAGCTCGTTAGCCCACTCCCCTTTCTCCAGTAAATGCTCTCACAGTGTCTTCTGAGTGTTACCCCTTTGTCTTTCACTCTCCCAAAGCACCTCTTCCTAATGCTACAAATCAAGATGGCTGAAGTGATGCCAGCAGGTGGCATGGTGGTTAAGGGTGCTGGATTCCCACATGGCCAACTGCGATTTGAGTCCTGGACCTGGTAACTTGGTAACTTCCTTTCTCACTTTCCTCTCTCTCTTGCTTCTCTCTCTGGTCAAAATTGAAATAAATAAATAAAGTTAAATAAAACATTTAAATAAAAATAAATAGGCTTGAACAGCTTTATTTAAAAAAAAGATGGCTGAAGTTAGGAAAGAATCCTGCAAAGGCCCTCTGATTCTCCTTTTTTTTTTTTGGGGAGAGGTTTTTTGCTATAGGGCGTGTGCGCTCGTCAGACAGACAGAGAGAGACATAGAGACAGAAAGCGAGAAATCACCCCCCGGGGGGATGGTCACGCCGCAATCCCTTCTCCCCCATTCTCTTGGGGTCTTGGGCACGCACGCACACGCGCCCAGCGTGAGTTTTTTAAGCCACCGGGTCCGGGACGCGAACCATGGTCGACTTACGTGGGAGTCCAGCAACATAGCCATTACGCTAACTGCTAGTTCCCTGGGCCCTCTGATTCTCTTTATCCATACTCAGTCCCATGTGTTTTCCTTCTTTCTTTTTTTTTTTTTTTTTCCAGTTTGCTATAGGGCGTCTTCACTTGCCAGAGAGAGACAGAGAGGGAGAGAGAAAGTGAGAAAACACAACCCAGGGGATGACCACGCCACAGTGTCTTCTCCTCCACTTTTCTCTAGGGCTTTTGGGCATGTACGCACACACGTATGCTTTACAAACTGCCAGGTCTGGGACTTGAATTGGTCAATTGGCCATGTGAGAGCTAGCTGCCTTAACCACTATGCCCCGCCCCCTCCAGCTGGCCATCCCATGTGTTTTCATTGGGTAAATTCAGCTCTCATCTTGGCATCAGCAGAGTCAAGTGAGAGAAAGATACCTGACTTTCTAGGGTCCAAGAGGGTAGAGCACAGTGGCCTCACCTCCCATGTGGATGGGATATGGTACAAAATTCCATTTCCCAAAGGCTGGATGCAGGAGGATTCTGGGAGCCCAGAGTTCTTTTCCTTGCCAAATACTTGGATGGCATGAAGACATCAAGTAAGTAAAACTCTTACGTCCTGGAATGTGATATTCAGGGTTATGAACAAGGTAGAGCACTGCCCAGCCTTGGAGGCATTAGAGGTTAGACTTGTTCCTGCATTGTAGAGGAGACAAAGATGACAATGACCTGGTCCCAACCTCCTAGAAACTCACCAGCGCATAGGGATGATTCTGAACAATACAAGACAGTTCAAGTGGATTGGAACAGCGGGGTAAGTACAGAGCACTGACAGATTATCTAGGAAATATTACAGGAGACGCCAAGAATCAAAGTTCTGGAAGAAAGGAGGTTGGAGTAGAGTAACAAAAAAGTGCCCCCCCCCCAAAAAAAAAAAAGAAGATGCAGTTTAAGTCCTGGACCTAGTGGCTTGAGAAACATTCAGGACACATGTGCATGCATGACTTGTATTAATGCTTTACATCCCTGCCTTTATGTTAAAAATCCACACACAAATGAAAATGGAAAAACTGCCAATACCCAATTTCTGTCCCCTATTTTCCACTTGTAATTATATAATTAGGTACCTTTTGACCCCATGGGGGAAAAAAATCTAATGTTCAGATCTACAAATAGCAGGAAAAAGAGAAAAAAATTTTTTTTGAGAATGGAATGTGTCCCATCATAGTAGATTCTTAAGCATGTTCTCCAAGTATGCAGTGAGCTAGCTGGATATCTTTTGGCAAAACTGTTATACATTTGGCGTGGATAGCACACAGGCTGCTATCTTCAAAAAGGCCAACTAGGGACCAGCAGTTGGCATAATGGCTATGTCGCTGGACTCCCATGTAGTCGACTGCGGTTCGCGTCCTGGACCCGGATTGTGGTGTGGGCATCCCCCCGGGGGGTGATTTCTCGCTTTCTATCTCTCTGTCTCTGTCTGTCTGGCGAGCGCACACACCCTATAGCAAAAACCTCTCCAAAAAAAAAAAAAAAAAAAAGGCCAACTAAATAGGCCTCACTTACCTCCTACAAAGCACCAATAGTTGCGCTCTGGAAGCGCGGATCTATTTTGAAGTCCTGAGCAATTTCTCGCACCAGATGCTGGAAAGGAAGTTTGCGAATCAGTTCAGTGGACTTCTTCTTCTTTTTTTTTTAATATTTATTTAATTTTATTTATTCATTCATTTATTTACTTTGACCAGAGAGAAGCAGAGAGAGAGAGGAAGTGAGATAGCAAGCCACCAGGTCTGGGACTCGAACCATGGTTGGCTATGTGGGAGTGTCTAGTGCCAGTGCGTCTGTACTTGGCCTGTAATGATGAGGTTTCTTCACCTCTCCAATAGAGGTTTCTTCACCTCTCACCCTTGCTAGTGGCTTTTGTAACTGGTTGCTTCCTGGGTGCTTCACAACCAGTGGATGTGCAGGCTGTCTGCTTTGTATGAGCCATGGTATGGAGGTCTCCTCAGTTACCCCCCTTCTTCCGCTGGAGCTCCGCGAGCTAGAGGTGGCGCTGGTGTTAGAGAGCAAGGCTGCAGTGTGGCTGCAAACACAATTCATGTCCAGTGTGATTTTTAAGCTACTAGGTCTGGGACTTCACGGACTCAAACCAAGGTTGACCATGTGGAAGTCCAGCACATTAACCACCACATCACCTGCTGGTCCCACTCTCATGTACTTCTGATGCTTCCTAAGGTTGAGAACCCTTGCCACAGAGAGATAGGAAAATATGTCCACCAGGATACAGGTATGAAGATTTTATTTTTGCTATAGGGTATGTGTGCTTGCCCAGAGAGACAGACAGAAAGTGAGAAGTCACACTCTCCCCTCCCTCTCCCCCAAGGAGGATGGCTATGCTACAATCCCTTCTCCTACAGTCTCCTCTCTGGATTTTGGGCCCACACGCACATGTGCCTGACCTGAGTTTCAAGTCTCCAGGTCTGGACCTTGAACTGGTTCGGCCGTGTGGGAGTCCAGCGAAATAACCACTACATCATCTGCTAGTCCTGATTTATTTCTTGTTTAATAAGGCACGTGCACTCACCAGAGAGAGAGTGTGAAGAAAAGTGAGAAAGCACTCCCCAGGGGATGACCATGTTGCTATCCCATCTCCTCTACTCTCGTCTAGGGATTTTGAGCACATGCATACGCTGCACACATCTGGCATGTGTTTGAAGCTACAGTATGTGGAACTCAAACCACGTGGTGAGCCGTGTGGGATCCAGCTGTCTCCAATGTACAAAGATTTTTAAACAGATTGTTTATAATAGCTAAACACCGAAAAAATGCCAAAGGTCGATTAATATCATAATGGATAAATGCATTATGTAGTTATGTAATACAATAAAATAATAAAAATGAATGAATCACAGCTGTACAAAATAGCATAGATGACTCTCAAACATCATAGTGAGTAAATATTTGAGACACAATACATTTATATATATATATATATATATATATATATAGAGAGAGAGAGAGAGAGAGAGAGAGAGAGAGAAAGATTCTTGTCAAACTGTGCATATGTTTTAAGAACTCAAAACTATACCTCCAGTCCTAATCTTTTCTTAGAACATGAGGCTGGCATATAACTAGCACCTCCCACAGAATGTGTGCTCAGTTTATATAACAGATCTCATTCTTTATCATTA